ACTCTTTTTCTTTTTTTTTTTTTTTTTTTTTTTTTGTTCCAGGGATTGTACTTGGGACCTTGTGCTTGTGAGGCAAGTAGCGGCACCACTGAGCTAAATCCCGGGCCCCATGAAATAATTCATTTTCTTACACCCCAAGAGCTGTTTCTTTGTTCTTTTCTGAAGCCTCCTCTTCCAGATCTCTAATTACTTAAGGGTAGCAGGGCTCAGTAATCAGATCCTACTCTTCCCTATCTTTACTCACCTCCTTGATGCATCAAGTCTCATATCCTTCAGTATCATTTACATCTACCAAGAATTTCCAAAAGAAATGTTTTTTTCCCATTCAGGAGCTCAAACACAGGGTCTGACACATTCTAGGCAAGCACTTTACTTCTGAGCTACACTCCCAGCATTTGGTGGTTGGCTGCTTGGTTTGTTTGTGGTGCTGGGGTTCAAACTCAGGCCTTGTTCCCATTAAGCTGCACTCTTCCACTAAGCTACACCAGCCCTCCAACTTCTTCTCTAAACCCTATGTATGCACACCTTCCTAACCTACTTCTCCACTCAGTTCTTTTTTTTTGTTTGTTTTTTTGAGACAGGGTCTCACTATTGTATGCCCTAAAGTCTCACTTCCACTCCGGGGTGCATGAACAGCCAAAAGGGCCTTCACAATGCTGAGTCCTACAGCCCAACGATGGCTCCGGATGCAAGACCCAGGGCCTTACTTTCGGGAGCCTTGAACAGCCCAAAGGGCCTCCAAGACGCTGGAGGCATCCGCGAGGCTCTGGGAGCTCGACGAGCAGAGAGTCACCCAGGAAGGAGCACACAGGCTCGTTGGTAAATAGACCTGTTAGTCTGGCCAGACGGCACTCTCAGAACTGAGCAGCTCAGAGAGGCCCAGCACAGGGCTTAGCACAGTTTTTTAAAGGCAAGGGAAGAGGATTGCAAGCACAGCAAGTGGGCCAGGGGTCAGGGGGTCGGTTTTCTGCCATCTTTCTAAAGGAGTCAGCTATACAGTGCACCTGGCCTTTCATCTGCAGACCTCAGGCTGTTCTGTTCTAACGAGGTCTTGAGTCGCTGTTCTCTAACGAGGTCTTGAGTCGCTATCTTGTTTACCCGTACCAGGCTTCCATACACTCTGTTTTAGTCTTATTTTGGAGCTGGGTAGAAAGAAATGTGTGCTGCTATATGCTGGCTAACTGGGGGTTACATAGCGGTTAGGGACCCATACTATGTAGTTGAGACTGACCTGGAACTCACGATGTAGCCCAGGCTGGTCTCAAACTCACAGCGATCCTCCTGCCTCAGCCTCTCGAGTGCTGGGATTACAGGCGTGCGCCACCACACCCAGCTCCACTCAATTCTAAAAAGCATCACAAACGTAACATAGTTGAAACCAAAAACTGAATATTCCTCTTTAACAAACTGCTCTTCCTAAGCTTCCCTGTTTCCCCATTTTTAGTACATGGAAATTCTTTGAGTTACTCAGGCCAAAAACATTAGAATCATCCTTGCGTCTTCTTTCTCTCACATCCCACATTCAATGCATTGCAAAATTGTGTTCGTCCTCAAAATCCATCTAGAATTTGACTGCTTCTCACCACCTCCACCATCACCCTTATCCAATTTACCATTAATTCTTCCTGGATTATAATAGTAGTGTCCTGTCATCTGGATTATTGTATAGCCTCTTGCCAAATCCTATACAAAAGGTTAAACAAAATAAGAATTGAGAAATGATCGATGAACTTGGCAATGTGGAGGCCCTCTGTTCACCTTGAGAAGACAGCTTCCACTGGATGGGAGTCTCGAGATAACTGGATCCTGACAGAACTGGATTTACTCTGTCGTGGACTCCTCTGTGCTGTCTCTAACACATTCTCTTTCTCAACCGTGTAATAACAAAAATTCCCACTTCTGAGCCTTTGCATTTGCCATTTCTGCTGCCTGAACCACCCTTCTCCAGTCAGGTCTGCTTATCTTACCTGAATGTTAAAAGGAGCCTCCAGATTTTCTTTATCAAGCTATTTAAAATAACATGTGGTAGGCCAGGCATGGTGGCACACGCCTGTAATCCCAGCACTCAGGAGGCTGAGGCAGGAGGATGGCTATGAGTTTGAGACCAGCCTGGGCTACGTAGTGAGTTCCTGGTCAGTCTCACTACATAGTGAGACCCTGTCTCAAAAAACTCCCCCCAAAAAAACCGTGTGGTAGGCCAGGGATTTAGCTCAGCGGTGCTGCCGCCTGCCTCGCAAGCACAAGGTCCTGAGTTCGATCCCCGCTACTAAATAAATAATAAAACAAAATAGCGTCTGGGCTGGGGATGTAGCTTAGTGGTGCTGCGCCTGCATGACAAGCGCTAAGTCCTGAGTTCAATCCTCAGAACCGCAAAAAATTAATCTCCCATCCTCCATTCCTGTATTTTTTTTTCATTACTTGCATTCATAGCATTTATCACTATCTGAATGTATTTGTTTACTGGATGATTTCCCCAGCTTCTCCGCACTCTAGAATGTAAGGTCCACGAGAGCAGGGACTTCGTTATGGTTGTCACTGTAACCCCATCGTATAAACCGTGCCTGACACAAAGTAGTAAATATCTGTCCAATTAATAAATAAGCGACTTTCATCTCAAACGCAAAGAGTAAAGGACCAATAACGCACTCACTCTCAACTTGCAACCTCCGGAAAGGCAAAACTTGCATTCTAGGGATCCCTAGCACGCCCCGGCAACAAAAACGGCCCCTCTCTTAGAAGACCTACGGTAGAGCTTCCGCCCCAGCCCAACTCTCACTCAAAGCAGGGAAAGGAGGGGCCGAAGGTCTGTGTCATCAGCGCGCGCCGGCCTGCCCCGAGACGCGCCAGCGGCTGGCGCAGCCCTTCGCTCGCCCGGCCTCCCCCTCCCTGGTTCCGTGCTCTGGTTCCGCCATGGAATCCAACAAGGATGAAGCCGAGCGCTGTATCAGCATCGCTCTCAAGGCCATCCAAAGTAACCAGCCCGACAGGGCGCTCCGCTTCCTGGAGAAGGCCCAGCGGCTCTACCCGACGCCGCGAGTTCGCAGTGAGTGAGAAGCGCCGGAGAGAGCGGGAGACATTAGAACTGATGGGGGAAATACGAGAGCGGACCGACGGGAGCAGTTGGCGGAGGGGGAGGGGTGGCGAGGCGCGGCTACGCCTGCGCGCTGAGGCGCGCGGTGGCTTCTGTGAGGTGTAGTCTTTCGGCCTCGCGCGTCTGCAGGACGCAGGGCACCTGAGCACAGGGGCATCCCCGACTTCAGCCTTCGGTATATTTGAGGAAAGCTCTGGGATGTGAGATTTCCTAGAAGTAGATGGCGCTGGCAGACCCGGCTAACTGAACTCAACTGGGAGCTGAATCGAACTACTTTTCCCAAAGGGCCCTTCGGTGGCCCAGGGCCAGTGCCGGCCTGGGAAACATTATAGTTCAGGAAAATAAATATAACTCTGCTAAGCGAGGAAAAGGATTCTAAAGAGGGAAAGGAGGCCCCATAGCTTCAGCCCCTCGCATGTCTCCTGACGAAGGCCACAGACCACCCTAACTATCACCTAGTCCCCTCTGCCACCTTGGGGTCCTGAGACCACCTCCTCACCCCCTCCTGCAACCTCTTCTCCTGCCCATGAGACCCGGGTACGATGGCTTCTGGAAGATCCGTCTCAGCGCCCCGACCCGCCTTCTCCCACCAGGCCTTCAGTAACCCACCGCCAGACTCCTGAGGAGCCAGGATTGAAGGGTCCTGAAGCAGGGACGGAATATTGAGGTCGTCTTTCATTATTCATCCCTCGCTTTACACAAGAGCGCCCTCATTTTTATTTCTTGAAACTAAATATGAAGTTTTTCTTAATCCAAGCTATAAAAGAAAAAGACACGGTGTTTGTGCCTGTGATTACCACTTTACTAAACTATCTGGCATGTAACAGGCGCTCAGAAGACCCAGCTCTTATCCTGATTGCTACTCTGTGACCTACCCATCTTTCCTCATCTGGAAGATTAGAGTGTTGGCACAGGTAGTGTGGATAACAATAATACCCGACAGGCTTTTCAGAGTAGAAAGCTCTTTCACATGCAGTTTGTTACTTGGGCCTGACTTATCAGGGAGACAGGCAGAGATCATTATCTTTGATCTGTAGATGGAGAAACATCTCTGAGGTAAGGGACTTGCCCAAGATTACACAGCTAAAAATTGGAAAGCTCTGTAACTATAAATATTCAAAAACTGAAAGGAAATGAAAGCAGCAGTCGGCCTCCTCAGCTTTCCTGCCCAGTTATGAAGTGGAGAAAAGGGGATAGTGGCAGGAGAGGTGACCCAGAATGCCTGAACTTTCCTCCCTCTTGGCTCTGCAGGTTGATCTTTGGCCTGCTGGCCACCTCCTACAGAGGGTTTCAGTTTGTATTTGCCAGGAATTCTGAGGTAACCTGCTGGAGGACTTCCTATGAAATAAGTCACTCTAAGTGGAGATCATGGGGTGTGGGTGGCCTCCAGCTGTCAGAATTCCATCTGAATGGGGGCTCCGGAGCAGGCTACCATGAAAGGACGGTGACATTAGCGCCAATTGGTCAGCGGGCCTCTGTGTCAGGTCAGGAGCGTGGAATGGTGTCCTTCCTGGAGCTCAGGCACTGGAACTTGCTGAGGGACAAGAGTGCTTTTCTGGAAAGTGTGTATGCTTCACTTCACCTTCGTACACTGAGCTGCCAAGGAACCTGCGGTTAGTTTAGGCCTGAGACAGGGAACAAGTCTTGGTTAAAAAACATTAAGTGGTTGTCTACTTTGGAGGCTTTGGGTTTGAGCTCATTCCAGACACGATTTTTGCTGAGAACATTTTTAATTTTGTTTTGTTCTGTTTGCAAAGTCCTGTGCTTGGTGCTAAATGGTACAGCGGGAGTGGCAAAGTGTGATTTCTTCCCTTAAAAACCTTACAGTCTAGTAAAGGGGACAGACTTGCAGGAAACAGTATTGCAAGATAGAAGAGAATAACTGTGACTTAACAAACATTCGACAGTGTTAGATTCTAGGGACTTAAGGGTAGTTATGAAAAATGCAGTCCCTGCCATCTATGGGTTCACAGTGTGTGTGGGGGGAGGGTAGGTGCAAGGAGGGTGTGTCAAGCAGTTTTCCTAGTTAAATTCTAAGTAGTGTAGTGAGTGCTGTAGCAAGGGCACACTAATGTTATCTCACTGGGCGTGGTGGCTCACACCTGTAATACAAACATGCAGAAGGCTGAGGCAGGAGGATTGTCTGGAGTTCAAGGCCAGCCTGGGCTATCTAGTGAGTCAAAACAGAAGACAAACAGAACTAATGTCATTGCACTGAGGGGAAAGGCTTTAGGGAGCACACAGGAAACAGCATTTGGACTCCACTCTGGAGGAAGTCCTGAAACTCAGGAAAGGCATGCTGGGAAAAGATATGGAAGCCAAAAGTTGGAAGAGGTTTGTGGGACAGAATTAGATGTAGCAAGATTACGAGGCAGAACACCGTCTTCTGTGGGTGGCTCCTTGTTGCTGATCAGCCATGACTCGGATTTGTCGGAATTGTTCCACCGAGGTAGAGGCTGCTGTCAACCGTCTGGTAAATCTGTGGGCCTCCCACACCTACCTCTCTCTGGGCTTCTACATCACTGTGACAGTGTGGCTCTGGCAGGTGGGCGGGCGTGGGCCATTTCTGCCACAAGCTGGCCAATGAGAAACGCGAGGGCACCAAACATCTTCTGAAGATGCAAAACATCCTTGGAGGCCAAGAAACCTTCTGAAGATGAGGGGTAAAACCGTGGATGCCATGGAAGCTGTCCTGGCCCTGAAGAAGAACCTGAACCAAGCCCTTCTGGATCTTCATTTCTTGGGCTTTGCCAGGACAGACCCCTATCTCTGTGATCTCCTGGAGAACCACTTTGTAGATGAGGAGGTGAAGCCCATCAAGAAGATAGACAACCATAGCCGGGCATGGCGCGCACTTGTAATCCCAGCACTCGGGAGGCTGAGGCAGGAGGATTGCTATGAGTTTGAGACCAGCCTGGGCTACATAGTGAGTTCCAGGTCAGGCTCAACTACATAGTGAGACCCTGTCTCAAAAAACCAAAAAAAAAATTTAAAAATAGGATATGCGACCACCTCACTCAGCTCCACAGGCTGGCAATCCCCCAGGCTTGGCTGGATGAGTACCTCTTCAGAAGGCTCACCCTTGGGCTGGGGATTTAGTTCAGTGGTTCTGCCGCTTGCCTTGCAAGCTCAAGGGGAGTTCAATCCCTGGTACCAAACCAAACAAAACAAAACAAAAGGCTCACCCTCAAACAAAACTAGGAGGCCCGGAGCCTGGCAGTCTCTGAGGGGCTCCTGCTCACCTGGCATCAGGGTTTTTGCCTAAACCTCTCCCTCCAGCCGTGAGGCAGCTTTTTTATCTCTCAGGAGCCCCCTCCCAAGTCTTGTACTAAAAGAAAATAAAGCCTTATGCAGCAAAAAAAAGAAAAGAAAAGTAGGCAGTGCAGGTGAGAATCTGTATATAGAGAGAGTTCAAGTTGGAAAGTACAACAGCCAGATTATAGAACTCCTTTTCCACCAGGCCAAGGGATTTTTACTTTATTCTGTAGTTAGCAAGAAAACCTGTTGATGTTTGTGATTACAGGAATAAGGTAAGGATCCGTTCTGAGAAGTGTAAGTGAAAGAGGGAAGGGAGACTCAAGGCAGAAAACAGGAGGCAGTGGCCAAGATAGGTTAGAAATTCTGAGGGCTGGAAGGCAGTAGGGATGAGTAAGGTCATTGGAGAGGAGGCACCAAGCCTTTGTGAGAGAGGGGGATGCTGAGGAGAATTAGCTAGGATGCTGAAAAATGAGTTGAAACTGTGTGACCAGGAAGAGGCCCGAGTTGAAGAAGTAAAGTGGCAGCCGGGGCCACCCAGGCGCACAGTCAGTGTGGGGCTCAGGAAGAAGCTCCAGGTTGTGGGTGAAAGTGGCATTGATTTGCTGGGGCTCACTGCAGTGTGCATGGTTAAGGGCACTGTGGGAAGGGGTGGAACATGGAGAAACAGTTGCTTTGGGCACAAGGACTGGACACAGGCAGAGGAAGCAACAGAACAAGCTGGAGCCAATGGCAGGAAGAGGCAATCCCGGGAGAGGGCGGCAGCCGTAGCCATGGGAGCATTGTCAAGGAGGTGGTAAGCAGTGTTACGATGCTGCAGAGGCCACCTGGGAAAAGGACGAGTCAGGACGTGCGAGGGGATGATGGAGACCTTTCGGGGAGGCCTTTGAGAGGCAGGACAGATGGAGGGAGGACTTAGAGCAGTTTGGAGAGCCAGGAACCTCAAGGTTGTTGGCCTCTGTGAAGAGGAAATGAGGGGATTTGAAACTCCTGCCTTGGGGTGGGACAAGTTGGCTGCATTGTGAAGCAGTGGTGGGGCCATAAACTGGCAGGTCACAGAGCCAAAGTGACGGAACCAATTTGGTTTTTTTCCCATTTTTTTCTCTTTCTCCATCTTCCCCACCTCACACTGCCACCAGTACTGAAGATGGAACTCAGCCTTTACACTGTGCTACATCTCTAGCCTTTTGGGGGGGGCGGCAGGGTCACACTAAATTGCCCAGGCTGAGCTTGAACTGGTGACCCTCCTGCATTTAGTCCTTTTCTGACAGTTTCTATCCAAGACCTGGCTGTCCCATCATCACTGGCTTTGCCTGAGACTTAGTAACAATGGTGGAAAATACCAGCTCTTCCTAGAGTTTGTGAGAACATGAGCTCATTTTCCCTGGCATACACAGAGGGTTGGCTTGGATGATCTCTAAAGGGTCCTTGAGGCTCAAGCCGACTGTGGTTCTGTTAAATGGCTGACTGGGATCCCAGCCAAGTCGAGAGGACCAGCCCACAGAGAGGGGAGGATTAGTTACCAAAGGATTTTGGCATTCAGGGCCTAAGTGTGAGAGGACTGGCAGGGCCCAGGGTAGGGTTGTCCATTTAAATCATTATCCTCACCATGCCCTCAACCCTCTAGCCACTTTTATTTCACTGGCTTTTTGTTATGTTTTGTTTTGAGACACTAGCCCAGGCTGGCTTCGAACTCATGAGGATCCTTCTGCCTCAGCCTCCTGAGTGCTAGGATTACAGGTGTGTGGCACCACACCTGGCCACTCTTTCACTGACTCTTACTTGCCCCTCAGATAAGCTCTGTGAGGGCAAGGATCATATCTTCACTGAGGAATTAGACAACTTGGCAGACACACACAGCTGAGTAACAAAGGGCCCAGAACTGTCTCCCATCCGAGGCTCTTTCCCCACTTTGACCTCTTCTTTGCTTGATTCATTTCAAGCACTGCGGGTACACAGATGCTAAACTCAGCTACTTGCCTAATAACAAAAGTGACAATAACAGGTCACTCTCACGTTGCTGGGCACCCTGCTGAGTTCTGTCTCCACCTACAGGTCAGTACTTTCTCAGCTGTTGGGGGAGGGAGATAGTTACAGCTGGAGAAGCTGAGTTCACCTGGCCAAGATGACCCTGCTAGCAAGGGGCAGAGCCAAGCATGAGCCAGCCAGGCAGTCTCCTCTCCAGTAGGTGTGAGGAGAGCAGCCCTGGCAGCTCTGGCCATAGAAATCCTCTCACCTCCACCTCAGTTGCCACCTCCCCACCACAGCTCCTCTTTTCCTATGATTTCCCATCTTCTTAAAGGCCTTCTGGCTCTATTGCGGGGGGGGCAGAGCCAGGGTTAACGTTAAACTGTTCTTTCTCCTTGTTAAGCTGTTCTGCCGCCTCATCGCTGACATTGCCTGTCAGCCGCTGTGTCCTGAGAGATGACATCCGTGGGCGTGGCAAGGGCAGGTCCAGGCCATAAGAGCGACCAGAAATCTTTAGTGTACAACTCATGGTTCCATCACTGCTCTTGGCCATGAGATCAGCATCTCCTCCTTTGGAATGTGCCTCTGTGCCGGTCTCTGTGCCAGATGTCACACACATTATCTTAGTTTAACCTCCTCCAATGTTGTGAGGAAACAGGTTCACACCTGATGGAGAGATCAGGCAGGGTCAGGGTCGTAGACTGCTGGTAAGTCATCCCTCCGCCCCCAGTACTGGGGATTGAATCTAAGGCCTTCACTGTGAGTACATCCTCAGCCCTTCTTTTATTTTTTATTGTGAGTCGAGGTCTCATTAAGTTGCCCAAAGTAAGCTTAAACTTGTGATCCTCCTGCTTCGGCCTCCTGAGTGCTGGGATTATAGACATGTGCCCATGCTTAGCTGAATCTGGGCCTTTCTGAATTTAACATTTCTTCTGTACTCAGAATGGCTTTGTTGGCCTGGCTCTCCCATCAGACACTTGTTGTCTGGGATTGCCACAGAGTTAAGAGCAAGGAGCCAGGTGGCGGTAGGGAGTGGGACCTACCTTCTAGGCTTTTGTAATGACTAAAGCAGCTAAGACCTGCAGAGCCCCACAGTGCCTGCCTGACACACTGTGAGTGATTATCGAGTAATTACCGCCCCTGCTCTGGCCTGAGGTGCTGTCGACTCCCGCAGCCCCCCACTGCCTCCCACAGCACAGACTGCCCGCAGAATGTCCAGCTGCAGCCTGGGCAAACTTGCCACGATGAGCAGCAGTGGCTATGGGCACAGGGTCCACCAGTGCTGTGTGTCCAGTATGCCCGGGCCCGTGGTTGTGTGTGAGGGAGGGTGTCTGGCACCTAGCACAGCATCCTGAGCACGGCAGTGCCTGGAAGAAGCTGGCCCTGGTCCAGCTGTGTGGCCACCCCGACCTCCTGGATTCCCAGGAGTCTGTGAGGCTCTGGGATTCGCTACCCAGGACTCTGGCCCAGAGTGAGATGAGTGAGGTTTTTAAAGCTGGTTTGTGCCTGGAATAAATAGGGGACTTATGCCAGGGATATGAGCCCCTCGTCTGTGAGTCAGCAGGAACCAAGGACTTGGTTGGAATAACCATGACACTAAGGGTAACGGTGAATGCCCCGTGTAGACCCCAAACATTAAAGTAGGACAGTTGACATGGCCAGCATTTGGAAGATGTACCAGAAGCAAGGCGCACAGCAGGTAGTTTTCCTTAGTCTCACACTATCCCTGGCCCTCTGGGACAAACTTGTTTCCCTCATTCCTCCTCACTGCTAAGTGAAGGCCTCAGGGGAATTGCTCTTCCCATCCAGAAACACGGTCAATTATGAGGGACTCTGTCCGAGGGCCCTGCAGCTAATGGAGAGGAGAGTCTCTTTCAGAACATACTTAGAAATTTCAGTTCTAGCCAGGAGTGGTGGCGCACACCTGTAATCCCAGCACTCAGGAGGCTGAGGCAGGAGGGTCACTTCAAGTTCTATGCTGCATAGTGAATAACAGGCCAGCCTGAACTATACAGTAAGAACCCGTTCAAAAAAAAAGCCCGTATCTCATTATCACAGCTGTGCACTTACAAAGGAAATGAGGGTAAATTTTATGTTTGTTTGTTTTATCACAGTGTGGAAAAAACTATCCTGTCTTGTATTAAAAAGGAATAATACTATTAAATCTAAACTAGGAACATTAGGGCTGGGGATGTAGCTCTGTGGTTCTGCCACCTACCTCGCAAGCATAAGGACCCGAGTTCAAACCCCGGTACCGAAAAAATAAATAAACTAGGAACATTAAACAGTTTAGTTCAGGTGTACTATATTAATAAACAGTTACATTGAACAGCATACTTTTTTAAGCTAAGAAACATTAAAATTAATTAGCTATCAATTTAATCAATTTTGTACTAATAATTAAACTTTAAAGCATTTTAAAGACCAACAATAAAAATAAAAAACAACAGGGGAGAGTACAAAGGACAAGTATTTTAGATAGTCTAGTGGTACAGTGCAGAAAAGAAGTATATACAGGGTTGGGATTTAGCTTAGTGGTTCCTTGCCTGCCTCACAAGCACAAGGTCCTGAGTTCAATCCCCAGTACCGAAAAAAAAAAAAGAAGAAGTAGACTTCCTGTCCCCAGGACTCTGACTCCCTAGGGAGTGGTTGGCTCATACCAGCGCCTACAGGCCCAGTCCTTAAGGGCCAAGTGGCCTTGCTGGAGGGGAGCAGCAGGTGCAAGGCCTGGCTGCCCCAGGGCAAGGCCCGAAGCTTTGTCCTGAAGGAGCTTTCAAGGATTTTCTTGCTTTCGCAGCTCTGATCGAGTCCCTCAACCAGAAACCACAGTCTGCCGGTGAGCAAGCCCATCCCACAGATACGACCCACAGGAAAACAGGAGGGAGCGATGCCCCCTCAGCCAATGGTGAAGCTGGAGGAGGAGGAGGAGGAGAGAGCACCAAAGGCTACACTGCAGAACAGGTGGCAGCCGTGAAAAGGTAGGGCCAGGCCAGAGTCAAGCGTCCAGGGGCGATCTGGAGGTTTCCCACTGTGCAGCACCCCCTTTTCCTGTGGCCGATGGGCCTGTCAGGGTCCTGGAGGACGGAGAGGGAGGTCCGGCTCATTTCCCACAATGCCCTGGGATACAGTATAGGAAGCAGGGCCGCATTGTCCGTCCACCCACAAGACAGCTCGCTACAGAGGCAGGAAATGCTGGCACCGCTGCCATCCTCTGCTACTGGCCCAGTGGGCCCCAGACCTCTACATAACTCTGTCAGTCAGAGAGGAAGCCTGATCTCGCCCTCCAGAGTCCCCGAGCCCACACCCCCACCCCAACAAATCCTTTTTCAGCCCAGAGCCAGCAGGGCAGAGTGGAGATAGGAGGCTGAGGCAGGCCCTGTGAGGAGCAGCTCACTACCAGGCTAACTGTCCCCGCCAGCTAGCCTTGGGGACACTCCGAGGTCGAGTCACACTCCATATCCTGGCAAGCTTCAGGACCAGGGGCGTCAGCTTGCACGTGACCAAGTGCAGCGGCTGTAGTTTACTAGGCAAGCCCAGCATTTGTAGGTGGCAGGAACTTTGTAAAAAGGGTTTGCAAGGCCCAGACAAGGTACAAAACCAGGACCTAAAAGTAAGAATTGGTGGGAGGGAGCCAGGGTTTCTCATGGCTCTTTGCTTGGGGTGAACACATCGCTGCCATTTCCGGCCCTTGAGTTACCCACTCAAGATTCAGGTTGCCAGGAAAGCGTACAGTTGGGTAAACTCAGGACACACCTGCCTGCGGATGACGGACAGTGACAGTCCTGAGGTCGCCTCCCAAGAGGGAGCTATGAGCAAAGGGAAGTGGGTGCTGGCCTGGCCAAAGGCAGCAGCTGCCCTCAAATCCTCAGTGTGTTCCTGGTGTTTGCCCTCAGCCCTGTCCAGCCCCCCATCCCAGTTGGAGCTCACGGTGACCCCTTTGTCCCTGAGCCAGAGGAGCAGTCAGCCATGCGTCGCTGATGACCTGCGTGAGGTGCCCCTCCCACTCCCTTCTCGCCTCGCAGGGTCAAGCAGTGTAAGGACTACTACGAGATCCTGGGGGTGAGCAGAGCAGCTTCGGACGAGGACCTGAAGAAGGCCTACCGCAAACTGGCGCTCAAATTCCACCCGGACAAGAACCATGCGCCTGGTGCCACAGAAGCTTTCAAAGGTGAGTGGCCCTAGTGTCCTGGAATCATGGGGCTTTTATCTCCTGTCCTCAGAACGCAGGGCCTACACAGCTTTCCCAGGGAGAGGGGCCTGCAGGAAGTGGTCTCAGGCCGTCTCCAGCCACAATCTGTCAGAGCTCACACAGTGCCCCCCCTTCCCCCCTTCCTCCTCCTTCCTGAGGCAAAAGGCTTCTAGGAGCTCTTCAGGCAGGCAGTACCTGGGGCAGGAGTGTGCTGAGGCCCAAGGTGTTTCTGCTCTGGCGGCCTCGTGCATGCCAGCAGCCACAGCCAGCTCCCCCAGCACAGTCTGCACCTCGGGCCGCAGTAGGGACAGGGCCGTCTCTGGCTTCAGAGCCCATTGGAAGGCTGCAGCCCTCTGGCCCAGATCAAGCCACCCTTACTCATGTAGCCCTGCGCTCACCCTCTCAGGCACACATGTGCACTGAGGCCGTGCCGGCCCCGCGTGGCAGTTTCTAGTTCCCACCTTGTCTCCTCTGGGCACAGCTTGGTGACTGGCACCACCAGGCCTGGGCACCGTGCTGTGCAGTACTAGGGCAGCTGCAGCGCCCCCAGCAGAACCCAGAGTCGGGAGGTGGGGGGCAGCAGTGGGCCCTGTCGGGCTGTGAGGCGGATGAGCTGTGAGCAAGGCGGCAGCTAGTGGAGGAGCTGGAGATGGGAAGGCTCAAAGCTGGTGGCCTTGGGGACACGGGCTCCCTGCCAGGAGCTCTGAAGTGGAGGCCTGGACCCCGGGGAGGAGGGGACTCACCGTAGCCACACCGCCAGCCACAGTCTTGGCCGGAACCTGAGGATTGGCCCTTCCCAGCGGTCCTTGCCGCCTCCCAGGCTACAACGAAGACCTCATGTGTCTGTCCCATGTCCTACCATGACTTCGAGTTCTGTTACCACCAGGAAGGGATGTCCCATCCCCTTGGGCATTTCGAGAGAGGAATGAGGAAAGAGGCTTTGGTAGCTTCCCTAATGCCGGCTAGAAAGCCTGAAGCAAGGCATACCTGGATTTGATTTCCGGCCCTGCAGCCTCAGAGACAGTGAGTTTCCCAAGTCCCTTGTCCCCTCCAGCCTCAGCGCTCCCCTAGATGAAATGGTATCAAGGTTGCTGTGGAGAGCACTTGAGACCACATGTGGAGGGGGAGCCAGGAGCTGAGGCTTAGCCCTGCGGCAGCCCAGGCTGCCAGACTCACGGGCTCTTCCTGCACGCTCCTGCCCTTGCAGGCCACAAGGACCCCTGCTCCCCACGGCAGCACCGAGCTGAAGGCCGGCGTTATGTGCTCAGGCCTGACCTCTCTGTCCCCTTTCCAGCCATTGGCACAGCATATGCGGTACTTAGCAACCCGGAGAAAAGGAAACAGTATGACCAGTTTGGTGACGACAAAGGCCAGGCCGCCCGGCATGGCCATGGGCACAGGGACTTCCACCGGGGCTTCGAGGCCGACATCTCCCCCGAAGACCTCTTCAACATGTTCTTTGGCGGTGGCTTTCCTTCTAGTAAGTCCCCACCCTCCCTCAGCCACATCTCCCCGGGGGCGATGAGGGACTGGGTTCCAGCCTGTCTTTCCCTCATGAGCCCCCTGAGCAGCCCCCCTCACTCAGTTCCTCTGACCCCCAGGTAACGTCCACGTCTACAGCAATGGCCGCATGCGCTACACCTACCAGCAAAGGCAGGACCGCAGGGACAACCAGGGTGATGTGAGTGGAGAAGGGGCTGGCAAGAGCAAGGGAGGGCACCGAGCTGACCCCAGAGTGCGGAACCTGGAGGAGGCAGTGTCATCCCACACTGTCCCTCATGGGACTGGCAGTGCTCCAAGTCTCCACAAGCCATCTTGGCTCCCACTTGCCATTCTTCTGTGGGACACCAGAGGGCGCCACACTCCGCATGGCCTGCAGGGATTTGGGGCCTCTGCTGGGAACTATGATAGAAACTGCTCCACCTACAGTTTGCCAGGTGCCTAGCATTTGTGCAGTCTGTTCGTAAGGCCAAAGTGACATTTTCCAAGCAGTAGAGTTAAACTTGCTGAAAATGAAGAAGAATGCCAACAAAGATGCTTTTTAGCACTCTCAAAAAAGGCACACAAGCTGGGGATTTAGCTCAGTGGTCCCAGTGCCTGCCTTGCAAGCTCAATGGGCCGGAATTTGATCCCCGGTACCAAAAAAAAGTATACAGGCAACTATGCACAGGGCTTCCAACACTTCTTTCCTGGCTTGTGGTGCTGGGGATCATCAAATCCAGGGGTGCTGCTTCCGCTCAGCTTTGTTTTTTAAGATAAGAGTCTGGCCAAATTGCTCAGGTGGGACTAAACCCTCAGTCCTCCTGCTCGCCCTAAGTGCCAGAGTTCCAGGCTGTGCTGCCATGTCTAACTCAAACACACTTTTTAAGCCACAGATTAACAGCTACCCAGCTGGCTGGCACGAAAATATTACAAAACATTTAAAATGCTGGCGGCAAAAGGTCTTGTTCTTTGACAGTATGTATTTGTTCATTTCTTTAAAACCTTAATTTTGTATTTAACATACAGGAGAATTTTTAGAATCACAAATTATCACACAGTAAATTAATTTTTATTTCTAGTTCGGTTTTTATTTTGTTTTTCCAGTGCTGGGGATTGAACCTAGGACCTTTGCTAAGTTTGCTGTGCCACTGAGCTATACCCCAGCCCTATTTCTAGGTTTTTTGAGTTTTGTTTTGTTTTGTTTTTTGGTACCAGGGATCGAACTCAAGACCTTGTACTTGCGAGGCAGACAGGGGAACCACTGAGCTAAATCCCCAGCCCCTATTTCTAGTTTTTTGATCAGCAGTGTATTTGTATGGTTCAAAACTCAGAAATGGATGCACAGTGAAAGCCTCCCTGCAGCCCTGTCCTGTGCTAGAAGCAGCCACTTCTACGGCTGTGTGGTTTTCTTTCACAAGTAAACACACACCCTACTTCCTCCAGCGGTGCTGTTTTACCCAGGTAAGCTGGCATGTGGAGCAGCTTCTGTCCATAAACGAAGGGGCAGTGTGGTGTCCTCGCCATCCAGGCTCCACTGTGCCAAGGTGCTGGTGGCTGGCATGGGCAGCTGGGTGATGTTGGCTCTCCCTCCAGGGCGGGCTAGGGGTATTCGTGCAGCTGATGCCCATCCTCATCCTGATCCTCGTGTCGGCTCTCAGCCAGCTCATGGTCTCCAGTCCACCGTACAGTCTGAGCCCGAGACCGTGAGTACCTGCTCTGAGGGCTGGGTCAGGGCAGCAGGCAGCCCAGGGCTTTGGAATCTCAACCTCATCAGGGCCCCTCTTTCCCAGCTGGATCTAGCAGGTTCCTGAACATAATTTAGGAGGCTGGCTTAGTGTAAAGGAAGTACAGTCTGAACCACGTGTGGGGGTGTGCACCTGTAATCCCAGTGGCTCAGGATGCTGAGGCAGGAGGACTGCAAGTTTGAGCCCAGCCTCAGCTACATAATGATTTAGAGAGACTGTCTCAAACCAAAAATAATGAAAGGGCTGGAGATGTAGCTCAGTGTGAAGGCAGGCCTTGGATTCTTTCCCAAGTATCAGAAGATGGAAGGGAAGGAGGGAGAGGAGAGGGGTGGGGAGGAAAAAGAAGGGGAAGGGGGAAAAGGAAAAGAAATGGAAACGGGAAAATAAGAAACAGTCTGTTGAGCTGAGCCTCTTAAACTTTTTAGGATGTAGCCCTCCAAGAAAATGCAGTGTTGTGACTGGGGATTATTTAGCTCAGTAGTGCTGCCAACTGCCTTGCAAGTATAAGGTCCTGAGTTTGATCCCCAGTACCAAAAAGAAAATGTAATATAACTGCAGCCCTTTTCCCCGGAACAGGGCACACACTATTTTTCATGTGATTTCAGAGGCTCCAGAACACCCTCCCATTCCTGTCTTTTTTTGCTGGCCCTGAGGTCAGCCTCTGCTCTCACATTCTGGTTAAGGGGCCGGGGGGGGCTCAGCAGCACAGCGCTTGTGTGAGGCCCAGGTTCTATCCACAGCTCTGCCAAAAAGAAGACCTGGAACCCTGAGACCTGGACAGAACAGAGGCTCTATAATGAGAGCCAGGGTGTCTCTGAACCCCATCTTCTTTTAGAAACTACCTTAGGCAAGGTTTATAACCTTGGTTTCCTCAGGTATAAAATAGGAATAATAAGGTCCACGTTCTGATGAAAATTAACGAGTAATGCATTTGAGATGTGTGGCTCATTAGAAATGCTCCACAGGCCGGGCGTGGTGGTGCACACCTGTAATCCCAGCACTCGGGAGGCTGAGGGAGGAGGATCGCTGTGAGTTGGAGACCAGCCTGGGCTACATAGTGAGTTCAGGTCAGTCTCAACTACATAGTGAGACCTGGTCTCAAAAAAAAAAAAAAAAAAAAAAAATGTTCCACAGTATTTGCTGAATAAAGCAGCAGCAGTTAGTGAACCTGGACAAGTTAGTTGATCCTTTGCGAGCTTCTTCCTTCCCTTCCAGTGCCTGGAACAGCATCTGATACATGGTGCTCAGCTTCCCCTCCTGGAAGCCCCCACAGCTGCCTGCTCAGAGTGGGGGTGCTGGCAGGCTGCTTCGCAATCAGCAGAGGGAAGAGTTTGCCCACTGGACCTATAGCATCACCAGCCTCTTGCCAAGTGCCAGCCCCTTTCCCTTCAGGCAGAGAGATGAAGGGCAGCATGGCTGGCAGAGGGCAGCTCTTCCTGCATAGGCTGCTGGGGACCATCCTTCCCAGAGGTGGCTCTGCACGGATGTGGAGGCTCTCCAAATCCTGCAGAGACTGCATTTGAAGCTGGAAGGATGCAGTTCCTTGGAATTTCCCAAGTTTTCTCCTTTTTTTGGTGCTGAGGATCAAACCCAAGGCCTTATGCATGCTCTGCACATGCTCTGTCCCTTGGCCACACCCTAGCCCTGTCATTGGTGGACTTAGTACATGAATGGGGAAATGGAGGCATAGGAGACAGAGCCCACCCCTCCCTCCAGGTCCCCAACTCCCAGACAAGAGCCTCCTCTCCGACAGGGCTTCTGAGAACCCCTGGGTCGGTGGTGCAGCAGCAGAATGGCTGACCTTCGCGTTGGGCGGTATGGGAGGGAACCGGCCACACCTGTGCCTGTGTGGCACCCTCTGCTGTGAGGGCCTGTCATCCACCTAGCTGCCCCGGGCCTAGGCACCCAGGCACACTTCATACCGGCTATGCTTTCTGGTCAGGTCGGTGGGACACATCCACAGGCGAGTCACTGACCATCTGAGCGTCGTCTACTACGTGGCAGACACCTTCTCGGAGGAGTACACAGGCAGCAGCCTCAAGACGGTTGAACGGAATGTGGAAGATGATTACGTCGCCAACCTCCGAAACAACTGCTGGAAGGAAAAGCAGCAAAGTGAGTGTGGGGGTGGCCGTTTGGAAGGGTGGCCAGGGACCAAACTTGAGGAACAGGGAAGAGAGAAAGTCCTACTCACTCTGTTCTGTGGGGCCAGCAGCTGGCCCTGCCCTGTGCCAGCAGCCCAGGCTACCTGGTGATTTCCTCCCGGTCCCCATAAATTGCTGCAGCCAGCCTGTCATTTTGGTGGCCAAGGGTGGGTATGTAGAGGTGGCTTGGAGATCTCTGGCCACCCACTGATTGTACACTTGGGCGTACAGGAAGCGGCCTGTATTGTTCTCTCCCAAAGGGGCGCCATAGTCTTTGCTCCTGCAGGGCCTTCCCTCTTGGGGCCCAGCTTGCCCAAGTTCTTCCAGCCTTCCTCTGCCTGCCTCCTCCCTGCGCAGGTACAGGCAGGCCTCCTGGCAGGCTCCAGGAGGCACAGGTGTGCCTAACCCTGCCCCGTTGCTTTGCAGAGGAAGGCTTGCTATACCGGGCCCGGTACTTCGGTGACACAGACATGTACCACAGAGCACAGAAGATGGGCACTCCGAGCTGCAGCCGACTGTCAGAGGTGCAGGCCTCCCTGCATGGATAGTCCTGGGCCATCCACACCAGCCAGGTCCAAGTATGAGCCAGGGCTGCCGCTGTGTGCAACTCCTGGCAGGTTTGGCCATGGTCGTGAGGCAGGGGAGGGAGGAAGGTGCTTGATGATGATGTCCGCAGCCTCACCCCGACCTCTGGAGGCAGGGCAGCTCTGGGGCCGACGTGGAGACAGATCATTCACAGCCCCAGGTCCGGTCTCTGCCACTACCCCACCCTGCGCCCTTCCTGGCCCTCAGGCTGTAGGTCCCAAAAGCCAGCTACGTGGGATCCCACAGCTGTCACTGGGTCCCCTCACGTCTCCCTGGTCCATTCCAACCTTTGTGTCACCACAGCCCTTTCCTGCACTAGCTGACAGTGGCCTGTGCCCCGAGATACTATTGGGCCCAAGACAGACCCCACACGCAGGACCACCTGCTCCCAGGAAGAACTGTGGAGTGGGTGGGCAAGAGCACTCCCGCCCGAGTCCTTCCAGGCAGGAGGACCTGGGACCGGATGACGGGCCTCCGACGGGCAGGAGAGCCTGCAGCAGCCGCCGCTCCTGAGGCGGGGTGTGGGGTGCGCTCCAGAGCCGCTGCACCTGGCAGCTGGGAAGCCACAGGCATCCAGCCTTGCCCCGGCATCTCCCCTGTGGTCTGAGGAAGGGAACAGAAGGTCATGAGTTCATAGTCCGACGCAGCCGCTCGGCACAGAAGGGGTAGGGAAAAATGAACGTGGCTGGCAGTGGGCACCCTGCCTCCTGCCGCTGCATGTGGGTATGAGTGGGCTGTGTTCCCAGAGCAGTGTGGGCAGAGCTGGTGGGGCTCTGCATTGGTACCCTGCCCACCTCCTTCGGCCTGTGTCCCCTGGGCTCCGATCCAACTGCGGAGCGGGCTGCTCATTTGTGTGGCTGAGCTGCAGGCGGAGGGCCGAGACCTCCCAGCTAACCGTACCCACTTTCCTCCCCAGACTATGAAATCCCTGGAGAACTTCTGGTGACACTCACTGAGCCAAGGTGACGGACTGTATATTTAAGGAGAGACATACAAAGACAAAAAAATTAAAATGGAATTGGAGGCTGCACACCGCACAACTGCCCTCTCTCTCACCCAGTAAATGCAGAAAGCTGTTAGGACAGACAGAAAGCCTGCCACGGGGCTGCCTCCCTCCCTCCCTCCCAGGGATGGCAGAGGCTCTGCATTGCTCCTAGGATACAGAAACCATGGCAACGAAAGTAGAATGTGAAACTTGGGGGGGCACTGGGGGAGAGGCTGCCCAGCTGCCTCTCCTCCCCCCACAAGACCCCTCCCACCAGTCACCTGCAGGAGGAGCCAGGAGCGGGACTGGCCCAGGGTAGAGAGGAGGAAAAAGAATGCCTGGAATGTAACTTGGAGATGAGTGTGATGTGTGTGTATATATATATATATCTATTTATATGTAAATAGGCATATATAAAGATATATATAGAGTCTACTTTTTAAACTGTGTAGCGATTGGGTTAAGTCGTTCAGCTGATTGCTTCTGTGTTAGAAAACGAGGCCTGTTTGAGAAGGCAGCCTGGTCCTTCCAAAGCTAGGCATCAGCCGTAGCTGACAGCATGAGAAAAGACAGGTCGTGTGCTTTAGTGTCCCCTCTCCCCCCTGCGGCAGCTTGTTTTGGGTGGCAGCAGAAATCATGATGGGATAAATTCATAAAAGACTTTGGGAGGATGCCAAGTTTATATTCAAGCTGCAGAAGAAGCAGGCCATGAGGGGAGAGGGCCCCAGGGTCGATAGGTCAGTATTGAGCCATGGTACTGGGCAGAGGACACCCATGCCGGCTGCTGCCCCTGTGGCCAGCTCTTTGTCCTGGTTCCCAGGAGCCGTGGAGCCAGCGCCTTGCCCAGAGTACGGCAGGGCTTAGCGAGAGGCCAGGTCCTGCCGACCACTCCCCGACCCGAGTCCCTGAGTGGGTTTGCCTTAGAGGTGCAGCAGGCACAGCTCCACCGATGCCACGGGTTTTCCTGTCGTGTGCGGAGGACTCCAGAAGGCTCTTCCTCTGGAATCAGCCCAGAGCCCCAGGGCAGCAGCTTGACTCATGAAGAGAAGTCCACGCCTGAGGCGCCTCCTTTGTTGCCCGCCGCGGATGTGACCAGCAGGCCTTGATGAAGGGTGCACCTGAACCAGAATTTTTCTTTCCCTCCCCTTCAAATGATTTTTCTCAGAGCAGCAGTTGCTGCCAGGGGGTGTGGAGTGGTTTTATTTTTTCCCACATCTATACTGGGCCTTTTGGAATTGCCTTTTTTCCAGAGTTCCTCCATGGTGGGGTGTGTGGTGTGGAGCCCACCGTTTCCGAAGCCTCACTCCCTAAGCTGCCAGCCACGAGGTGGTAACTGTCCTCCCAGTTTCTCTTGGCTCTTTTTTACAAAGTCCCCCAACAAATAGGAATCTTGCTGGCAAAAGAAGTGTGGTAAGGAAATGCCAAATCTGGTTTTTAAACAAGGTCACACCCTGCGATGAAATGGCCATCCCGGCCAGAGATCACAAGAACTGGACACAGGCCAGCGTGCCGCACCTGCGGTGGCCCTGGTGCTCTGCCATGCCACCCCGACTGGTCCTGGTCGCTGTCCTTAGACGGGCTGAGCCACGTGCAATAAGAACATAGATCCTAAGGGATCCCCTAAGAAGCTGTATTTCTTGAATTAGAATCCTGAAATTGTACATCTATAAATATATGTTTATTATGTGATTGGCCATGGTGGGTCTGAGCTGAGCAAGGCAGTTGGGGAGGGGGCAGGCACCCGCTGCTACTGTCACTGCCTGGCCCACGCCACAGTGTGAGTCTGGCTGCCCCTCTGCCCGGGCTGACAGCCACCGCAGTCACGGGCTGTTCCCGGCCTACTCCGTCAGGGCAAAGGGGAAGGGGCTCAGTTGGCTCTTAGGTGGGGTTGCAGGGCCAGGGCCTCAACCCCACAGCCCATACTCTGCTGTCCCCAGTCCCTACTCCCGTAGCTGTCGACCTCACTGCGAATCTGAGCAAAGCATAGCCCACAACTCCCCGGGCTGTGGAAAAGTCCCGGGTTTCTGTCTCATCTCCAGCCGCATAGTCTTCCAGTGTCCTCCCTCCCACCCCACAGCCAGCCCTCCTCCCCGGGAGGTCGGCAAAGTTAGAACCCCGGGACTGACAGGCAGTTCTTCCCTGGGCCGCCTGGAGACAGGGCCAGCTGCCCTGACTGGCAGGCCCAGGCCCCACCTACTGCCGCATCGACCAAAGACAGCAGGCTGCCCAGTGGTGCCACCACAGCCCAGGAGCTCATTGGCTGTCTCTGACCGGGTCACAGCAGCCATCCCCGCTCTGCGTGCAGCCACTTGTTAACTGCAGTTGGCAGAGACTGCCAGGTGCCCTCCCACAGGCACCTGCCCCATCCCCTGCTCTCACTGGGATCAAGGGATCACTGGGAGAGCCAGAAAGGGTGGGAGCTGCCCCTCTATTTGGGGGGGGGCTTTGCCAAGTATGTCCCACACACTGTCCGGTGGCCTCATGTCCATCCCAGCGCCAGGCCCTTAAACTTCTTTGTCCTGTGTGCATTCATTCCTCAAGGTCTGACCAGGGAGCTGCTCCCAGGTCTGAGGAGTGCACTCCTGGCCCCACTGTAACCTGGCAAAGTCACCTGGCCGTCTAGAGCAGGTGTACATGACACCAAGACTTGGCACCGAGCCAGTTCTGCTGTGACTGAGATCTTTATCAGACTTTGCTCTTGTGACAAAGTGACACCAAGTCAACCCATTTCGTAGAGCAAGAAATAGGCTTGGGGGAGCACAGGTGGCCCCCAAGTGCCCCCACTTTGGGGTCCCACAAATGATTCTTCTACAGATGTTTCCTGTGCCTGCATTCCTGTGCTGGAGGTGATCAGACCTCTTCCAAGCAGCCCAGAGGGTTGATGAACTTGAAATGGCCATGCTGAAGCCAATGGCACTTGTGGATGAGCTTCATTCAAGCCAAGTCTTTCCTGGTGTCCAATGACGAAGTGTCACCCTGCTGTCACTCATCCCCAAGAGGCACCCTTGGGTTCCAGCCTGGGCTCAATCCTGGCCTGGCCATTAGTGGCTGAGTGACCTTGGGCATGTCACCCAAGCCTCCTCTGCCTCAGTGTCCTCATCTGCAAAATGAGAGTGACACAATGCCTGACCGGCGGCTGTGAGGAGGGCAGTTACCGAGCTCTTCGCCATGGCTGGCACGAAGTACCCTCTTTTCAAGGGCTATCTGTGTTGTCACCAGAGCAAGTGACTGACAGGTGTCTGGTCCCATTCCAGGCAGTGAACCCAGGAAGGACAGAGGAGGCAGGGGGAGAAGGGGTGAAAGTCACGGCCCAAGGCCAGAGGCTGCTGGAAACCTGCCGGGTGGGTGGCAGGTACAGGGCAGGGGCTCTGGATGAGGAGGAATGAAGGGCTGGAGCAGAGGCCTGCCGAGGGAGCACAAACTCGAACCCAGCTGGGGAGCAGCACACAGGCCAGGCCCCATCCATTTTTTATTAGTGCATATTTGCAACTTGGTGCTTTTCCTGCCCCCGGGGAGTTGACACACGGACGCAACACATCTTAATTCTTTTTCTTTTACGTCCCCTTCCCCTTCCTCCCCACTTCCTACATCTCTTGGTCCTCTTTCCCTTTATCTTAGGGCCGGTCCCCAAACTACAGTTGTCACTCCGTCATCCTCGGGAAGCACCTCTGAGTCGTCCCTGTCCCCTCACTGCCACCCGGAAGGCCTAAGGGAAGGAGAGGGAGTAGAGGGCAAACTGCAAACCGGGCCATCAGCCCCTAACCACATGGCATCAAGAGGCTGGGAGTATTTGTGTCATTGTCCCACTATGTCCTCCCCCTGGGAGAAGCAGAAGTGTCATGTCCATCTTGGGCAGGGCTACAGCCCAGGGCCTGGACGCAGCGGGGAGGGGACCGAGGAAGGCAAGGCTGAAGATGAAGGGCCCCTTGTAGCTGCCCCCTGCAGCTTTTTCAGCCTCACCAGCTACTCCACAAGGGTTATGGCTCTCCAGCCATCAGCCTGCACATGGCCACACCCTCTAGGGCTCAGACCCAGGCCGCCAGGCCCAGATGTGCCCCACTGGGCAGTGTGGACCAATTGGACAGTGTGGGTAGCTTAAGTCATGGGACAAGCACAGTTGGGCCTTTTGCTTTTTCCCTACCTCCTGAGGAAAGTCCTGCTGAAATGCCCCACAGTTCCTCTCCCAGGTGCCAATATGACAATCACAATAGTGGCCATGAGCCAGGCATGGTGGCACATGTCTGTAATCCCAGCACTCGGGAGGCTGAGGCAGGAGGATCACCAGAAGTTCGAGGCCAGCCTTGGCTACACAGTGATTTCAAGACCAGCCTGGGCTATGTAGGTGGCACCACTCACTTCTGGTGTTAGACATGGTTCTGTCCTTAGCCGCCCAGTGCTGCCCTGAAACCAGCAGGGGAGTGGGGACCTCCAGCAGGCTTTGCATAGTCCTGTGTGCTGAGCATGGCAACCCACACTTGAAACTGCAGCCAGTCAGATGTCAACCCCACTGCCACCCACCCTGTGAGTGCCACTCCCACAGCTGTGGTGTCGGGTCTGGCCTGTGCAGAGGCCGGGGGTGCTCAGTGTCTCCCTGTTGTCTGAAGACTTCCGTCTCCCTCTGGTCCCTTCCGGACACCAAAGTGCTGAGCACAAAGTCTGCACAGAGCTCAGGGTTCTACCCTCAGCTATAACAGAAAACAGTTTCCATTCACATTAGCTGTAAATTTTTATTGTAATTATCATCCCACAGATCTCCTCAGTTCAGTCACCGAGGCTACCTGCTCTTGTCGGCTGCTGAATTTATAGGCACCGAGGCTGCCGAGGCCACTGAGGCCTGGGCCAGAGACCCAGCCTCACCCCAACCCACACGCAGGGCACCATTTCCCAAGACTAAGCCCAGGCTGCTCCCCACCTGCGTCCATTCGCCGGGGTGGGATGGGCGCCTGAGGATCGAGTTGCGTGCCCTACATCTGCCAATATTATTAGCTCTGGAGCCCGGCCCTGGCTGGAACACAATTCGAGGAACTGTTGACTTGGCTTTGTTTCCAGCCCAGCAGCTGCGAGGAACATACAGGCAGGAGCCAGCTCCTCCCAGCCCCCGAGCACGTTGCTGTGAGAGGGGAGAAGAGATCGCGTGTCCCTCCAGGGTGCTGCTGACGTCAACGCAGGCACCCCACCTCATGCGGCCCCTGGGCAGCCCTGGGGCTGGCTCCTCCTGTCTCCGTGAGGTTCCAGCTCCCAAGACCAGGCCACCCTCCTCCCATCGGCCGCCCTTGTCCTTCCCCGACCTCTGCCACCCCTGGCCTGACCCAAGCTGACCAAGCCCAGCCAGGGCATTACCCTGCCCCAGACCCCTCTGCCCCATTCTTCCCTGCCCTCTCTGTCCACTGGGGATTCCTGCAGCTGCTGGCATCCCAGGAAGACCAGGCAAAGCCTGGTACCCCAGATGTGCCCAGGGCTCCCACCCACGGCGGGTGGATTGTAAGCCAGGCTCCCAAAACCCCTGACCTCTGAGCCCCTTTCCTCTCTCTCTCTCTCCCTCCTGGCCTGTAGGCTGTTGGGGATGTGGGCTGCCCGGTGTGGAAATCCTTGTCAAGCCTAGCAGTGCCCACAACTTTGGTCCTGTCACTTCCTGAGAAGGGACAAGGGGCGATGGCCCCACAAAACTCAATGTAAAGAGGGGGCCCGGGATAGACTTCAGCATCAGTGCCAGCCAGGAGTCAGCGAGTGGGACATTTTTGCCACTGGACAGATGGGCACAGAAAGGCCCAGGTTTGGGGGCTAATAACTGGGCTGCCCTCCAGGCACACATGACAAGTGACAGAGGCCAGGCTGGCTTCTCAGACTCCATCCCCAGAGTGCCTGGGCGTGGGGCCCCAGGGCGAGGTTGGGAGTTTTATTTAGTTCAGTAAGAACTTTGAGAGAGGAAGAGGCTCCACTACTAAGACAAGCATTTCAAAACCGGAGACCCTAATCTAACCCCACAACTTTACCAGTGAGGAAGCAGAGACACAGAAAGGAGAAGTGATTTGCAAAGGTCACCCGGCTTTGTTGTGTCAGGCTCCTGCCTGGCACTCGGAGCCCTGGGCTGTGGAGACAGAGCTGGACCCCGTGGATGGAGGCAGCGGCACACAGGTAGATGTTTCCATCTCCCTGTCTAAATCTGGGCCACAGCCCTGGGGACCCTAGAGGGCAGGCGTCAGGGCCAGGCCTGGAGTCTGACAGAAGGCAGCCCTGATGTGGGTCTGGGACAGCCAGGAGGACAGAGGTGCCTGTGTCACTTCCTGACAGCCATCGAGCAGGCTGCAGGTGGCCAGCCCAGGACAGCCTCGCCCACAGACTAGCTGACCCGGCCTTTTTCTCAGAGTCCTCACAACAGTACCGGAAGCAGGGCATTTCCCACTTCAGAACTGGGTCACTGAGGCACCAAGCCTAAGAAGGGCCAGGACCAAGCTAGCCTGATACAAACACTGTTCTTATC